GAGATCCACTACCAGGTTTATAACAAACACCTGACTTATTTGTCCTTATCAATATACTATCCACCAATTCAATCCATATTGCAGTACATTTACTGTACTTCATTCAAACTCAACATTTTTATTCACTTTAAGTTTTTACTTTTGTATTGTGCTGTTTGCCCTTCACTGATGCTCGTAAAGTAATATATAATAACATTGTTTATGAATGATAGCCATTGTACTTTGTTACTCTCCCTCATGACTCTCAGGCAATGGAGTGTGAGCTCACTGTCTAATCAAGTGCCCTCCCCTGCACTATTTTGGAAAGGTGGCTTTAGTACCTCTTGCACATCCGTCATCACAGATGTCTAGAGCCTAGATGCTGGTTGAGCTGGCCATCACGCACTGAACTCTACACAAAGTGCTGCATGAGAATAGAATGAAATTTTCTGGTATTGGTTAATCTGGTGCATACTACACTAACTCACTATACTGGCTTCGTTGTCATCTAACTGATCAGACCCATTTCTTTCAGAGCCTTTGCAATAACTGCTTTCATCTAGCTTGAAACGCCTCCTGGCTGGATACTTTATATCAGCCCTTCTCCCCTTTCTTCAGGTTATTCTGTCCATGTCACTTCCTCAACACAATCCAATATGCCATACACTAAGGAGCACCTGCTTGGCTTCTAGCACTGTTGGCCCTCAGGAATGTGGGCCCAGTGTTCTGACATAGTCTTGTTTTTCCTCCTGGAAGAAACCTTAAAGTGGATTATTGTTGAAATTCGGATTTTAATGTTCGGCAACCAATATTCAAACATGCAGGCCAAACTAAAAACATATGTGAGTGATGTGGACAACAGGCAATATAATCTCAAACCTGAGATTAGTTTTATAGCCCACAGAGCTTGGAAGATAGAGACTCTTGTTCTTGTAATTAAGAGGATATTGAGGTCACTGAATGCGCATGGGGGGGTAGAAGAATGTAAAGAAACTCTGTGCTTGGCAACTTGTCACCCTGAACCAGCACCCTCCAATACCTATTAGGATAGACCTTTGGCCACTGTTTCTTAAAATGCTGTAAGGCAAAACTTTCATCTTTCCTACCTCTTCTTTATTTACCATCCTACTCCCATTATAAAGCTGGGAAGAATAAAAAATATTTAGTTGTACAATTTGGAAACATGGCTATTCTTTTGTTATAATTAAGGGTAAAAAATAGTCTGACTTTAAGGATATGGATAGACATTATGCTATTGGCCTTTCAAATTTTTGACGCTACCATGCTGTTAAGAACATGTGACAACAGGGGAAAATTTTTAGAAGAAAAAGTATATTTCATTCCAAATGAGCACTTTGAGAGAAGGAGTTTATGGGAAACATATAACTCTCAGATTAAAACAAAAGCTTAAAAACAAAACGAGAAACATTTCAAATTCAAGAGTCTAACTGGCCCGGGCGTGGGTGGCTCACGCCTGTAACAGACTCTGGAGGCCGAGGCAGAGATTGCTTGAGTCAGGGTTCGAACCAGCCGGAGCGAGACCCCAACTCTACAAATAATGAAATTAATTGACCAACTAAAACATATATATTCAAAAATTAGCCGAACATGGTGGCACATGGCTATGAGTCCCACTACTTGGGAGCTGAGCAGTAGGATCACTTGAGTCTGAGATTGAGGTTGCTGTGAGCGAGGCTGATACACAGCATCACTCTATCCTGGGCAACAAAGCAAGACTCTGTCTCAAAAAAAAAAAAAAAAGTCTAACTGTACCGCTTAAGGAACCAGATATTGAAGAGCGAACAAAACTCAAAGCTTTGGAGAAGAGGGAAATAATAAAGATTACAGTAGAGATGAACAAAAGGAAGAGAAAAACAACAGACAAATCAATGAGACAAAAGCTGGTTCTTAAAAAGATAAAAATAATTGGACTAACCTTAGCAGATTGACCAACAAAAAATACTAAATCAGGAACAAAACGTGGATTCATTACTGACCTTACAGAAATAAAAAGGGTTATAAGACTACTATAAACAATACTAAATGCCAACAGTTAGATAACTTAAACAAAGATGAGCAAATTCCTAAAAGAACAAAACTACCAAACCGACTCAAGAGAAAATATAAATCTCAATAAACCATAAAATAAGAGACCTGAATTCGTAGCAAATCTTCGACAAAGAAAGCCCAGGACCAAATGACCTCACTGCTGAATTCTACCATTTAATGAAACTTAAAACATCCTCACAAACACTTCCAAAGACAAAGAGAAGAAACATTTTCCATCTAATTCTGAGGCATTTTACCCTGACTTCAACCAGACAAAGCAAGAGATATCGAGAAATTACAGACAATATACTTATGAATACAGATGCAAAAACCTCAACAATAAAACCGAACCAATCCAGCAACATAGAAAAAGAATTATATAAGAATATACAATCAGGTGAATTTATCCCAGAAACGAAAGATTACTTAACATTCAAAAACTTATATAGGCTGGCACGGTGCTCACGCTGTAATCTAGCACTCTGCAAAGCCGAGGCGGCAGATTGCTCGAGGTCAGGAGTTGGACGGCCAGCCTGAGCAAGAGCGAGACCCATCTCTACTATAAATAGAAAGAAATAATTGGCCAACTAATATATATAAAGAATTAGCGGGTATTAGTGGCACATGCTGTAGTCCTAGCTACTCAGGAGCTGAGCAGCAGGATTGCCTGAGCCCAGGAGTTTGAGGTTGCTGTGAGCTAGGCTGATGCCACGGCACTCCTCTAGCCTGGGCAACACACTGAGACTCTGTCTCAAAAAAAAAAAACTTATCACTGTGTACATCAAAATTATTACAACAAAGGACAAAACCACATGATATCTAATAGTTGGAAAAGTTATTGAAAAAATACTCTAAACTTTATAACAAAACATCAACAATAGGAAAAAAAGGGAATTTGGGAGGCCGAGGCGGGCGGATGCTTCAAGGTCAGAGTTCAAAACCAGCCTGAGCAAGAGCGAGACCGTCTCCTACTATAAATAGAAAGAAATTAATTGGCCAACTGATATATATACTAAAAAAAAAAATTAGCCGGCATGGTGCGCATGCCTGTAGTCCCAGCTACTCGGGAGGCTGAGGCAGAAGGATCACTCAAGCCCAGGAGATTGAGGTTGCTGTGAGCTAGGCTGACGCCACGGCACTCACTCCTAGCCTGGACAACAAAGTGAGACTCTGTCTCAAAAAAAAAAAAAAAAAAAAAAGGGAACCGTATATAAATGTTCTAGCAGCACTATCCTAACAGCCAAAAGTAGAAACAACCATATGCCTTTCAATGATGAAGGTATAAATAAATGGGTATATTTATACCACGAATACTTTTCCAATATAAGAAAATGAGTACTGATATTTACAATATGAATGAAACCTGAAAACATTCTGCTAAGTGAAGAACTTACATATTATCATGTGTATCATTAATATAAATGCCAGAATAGGCATTTTATACAGACAGAAAGTAGATTAGTGTTGCCTAGGACTGGGTTGTGAGGAGTGGACTACTAATGATATAGGGTTTCATTCTGAGGATGAAAATGTTCTAAAATTAGCCTGTTGTGATGGTTGCACAATTTTATAAAAATCTAAAAACCACTGAGGTATGTACTTTAAATGGATGAATTTTTACGATATGTGAATTACATCTCAATAGAGCTGTTTTAAAAAGTTAGGACAAAACTGGACCCCAAGTTCAAGTCACAGGGAGGGAGGAAAGCACTTGCTATCTCAAATGAGATGGAAATATGAATCAGGTAGTCAGAGAGTGGTAAATGGATGAAATTTAGAGCCCGTGTGCTGAAACATGCTCAACTTTCTTACCCAGTTATCAGTCCTTATTAGGTTGCTTTCCTACCAACATCTCAGAAGTGTTGCCTTCCTATGGCCAGCTAGCAACTTAATACAAGTCACCATAGCCTCCCCAATATGATTCATCTCACTCCACTGGACCATTCTTTTGCTCCTCCTCTTAACCCTCCAGGGTTCTTCCCTGCTCCAATAAGGAGATCACACTTGGCTTACTGTCAGAAAGTCCTGCTCAAGAAAAAAAAGGACAAGGTTATGGTGTAGGTGTCAAATTAAAATCTGGCCCTGATGATAAGAAAGAGGGCCAGGCCCGGTGGCTCACGCCTGTAATCGTAGCACTTAGAGGCAGAGGTGGCAGATTGTTCGAGGTCAGGAGTTCGAAACCAGCCTGACAAGAGTGAGACCCGTGTCCACTATAACTAGAAAGAAATTAATTGGCCAACTAATATATATATATATATATACAGAAAAAATTAGCCGGGCATGATGGCGTATGCCTGTAGTCCCAGCTACTCGGGACACTGAGGCAGAAGGATCGCTTGAGCCCAGGAGTTTGAGGTTGCTGTGAGCTAGGCTGATGTCACTGCACTAACTCTAACCTGGGCAACAAAGCGACCGCTCAAAAAAAAAAAAAGGAAGAGGGAAGAAAGAGGAAGAGAAAGGGAGGGAGGGAGGAGGGAGGAGGAGGAGGAAGGAAGGAAGGAAGGAAGGAAGAGAGGAAGGAGAGGAAGGAAGGAGGAAGAAGAAGAAGGAAGGAAGGAAGAAGCGTACAAAATGAGGAAAATAAAGATGTCCAATGGAACAGCCCATTTCCAACTTCACAAAAGACAAACAATTCTTTGGTGAGCAAGAATCTCTAACTCAACCAGGTACTTGAAAAGCACTTATGAAAAAGTCATAATAGGCAAGGTGTGGTGGCTCACGCCTGTAATCTAGCACTCTGGAAGGTCGAGGAGGGACTGTTCCAGGTGAGGAGTTCGAACCAGCTGAGCAAGAGCGAGACCTCTCACATATAAGAGAAATTATGGCCAACTAATATATATAGAAAAAATTAACCGGGCATGGTGGCACATGCCTGTAGTCCCAGCTACTCAGGAGGCTGAGGCAGGAGGATCACTTGAGCCCAGGAGTTTGAGGTTGCTGTAAGCTAGGCTGACGCCACAGCATTCACTCTAGCCTTGGCAAAAAAGCAAGACTCTATCTCAAAAAAAAAAAAGAAAAACTCATAATAAAGAACATAAGAATTCCAGAAGGCTAATTCTGAATTTGGGGGTGGGGGATTAGATAAACAAACTTACCCAGTGAGATCAGGTTATTGTAATTTTCCAACATTACATCTCGGTATAAATCCTTCTGAGTACAGTACAAGGATTCCCACTCCTTTTGAGAGAAGTAAATGGCAACATCTTTGAACCTCAGGCCCTGAAACCACAAGTAAATATACTATTTGTGAAATTAATGGACAAAATCTTTAAGACAATAGAAGAGTAAATGGAAAGAGCAATTCAGTAGGGGAGCTTCACTGGGAAAGCAGGTTGTGCTGTACTGTTCAACATGGATGGGTCAGAAAGGAAACAAGGGTGATCACAGTCAAGTGCCCACACGGTTCTTGAGCATGCCTACTCCTGCAGGTTAACTCTGGGCACTTCCACCATCCACCAGGTTTAGAGAGTAAGTCTGGATAAGTGGTGCTTCCCAATTAAATGAAACTGTGCATGTAAGCACATGTAGCACACTACATCCTATGTTCAGCACAGAATGTTTCTCAATGCCTCCTCCCAATTCGTCCATTCAAGAAATTAAATCATAACCACTATTCCATGTCTCCACAAATTCTTTTTTTTTTTTTTTTGAGACAGTCTCACTTTGTTGCCCAGGCTAGTGTGAGTGCCATGGCGTCAGCCTAGCTCACAGCAACCTCAAACTCGTGGGCTCAGGCAATCCTGCTGCCTCAGCCTCCCCAGTAGCTGGGACTACAGGGATGCACCACCATGCCCGGCTAATTTTTTCTATATATATGTTAGTTGGCCAATTAATTTCTTTCTATTTATAGTAGAGCCAGGGTCTTGCTCTTGCTCAGGCTGGTTTCGAACTCCTGACCTCGAGCAATCTGCCCCCCCTCGGCCTCCCAGAGAGCTAGGATTACAGGCGTGAGCCACCGCGCCTGGCCCACAAATTCTTAAACAGACACCATTTTTACTGGCTGTGTGACACCTCATCTTAAGTATTCAATGTCTTACGTTGCAGCACTAGTCTGGAGTTCTCTAAGACTCTTTTGCAGTTATAACAGTCATTATTTCTCAATGATTTATAAATCTGGCGTATTGTTCCTGTAACCACAAATTTTCCTTAACTATGCTATTCCCCTTGTTACCAAGCTACCAGATCTGATGGAGAAAGCTCCAGACTCACAAAGACAAGCATACCCAACACAAGTTCCAAATGGACCCACTTATTGGTATCCATCTGGCACAGACTCCTTGGGAATATCCAATAATTCCATACACCCCATCTATCATATCCCTATTATATCTCCAGTCCTAAAAACCTTAGAGAGCTAGAGATACTGGCAGATACTGAGACTGAAACAAGTCAACATCAATTACCTTCTTGTCTAATTAGAAAACCCAAATTTGCAACATGTGATTGCCACTAAGCCACTCACACTTCATGAAATCACAGCTCTCAGAAGGGAGATGTAAAATTTCCAGCAAGAGTCAATTTTCCTACTCCACTGGTACTCTTGGTAGAAGGATATGTACTTAAGAAATGCTAAGTGGTTTGCTGTTGAATACCTAAATACTTATTGGAGAACACTTAAGGGACAGCAGCCTTTGGTAGCATCACTGACTGGAATGAGAAGAACTGGGGAGGAAGTTCCTAGAGAGAGGTAGGAAAAATACACTTTCAAATCTTCTAAAACAAAAAGAATGCATTCCGAAACTGATCAGCCAATTCTAAAATTTGTATGAAAAAGCTAAAGGCCAGGAATAATTAAAAGACATTCCTAGAGAACAAGATACTATGGTGGAGGGACATGACTTACCAAATATCAAACATTACTACAAAGCTGTCTTTAATTAGGACAATGTGGTTTTAGTGCAGGAATAGACAAATGGATTAGAAAGGAGAGCCCAGAACAGACCAATGTATACATAGGGAAACTTAATTTATGACAGAATTGGGCACTCAAGTACAGAGGGGAAAGGATGACAGTGTAGTAAGGAATTTGGCCTCCAAAGAGAGTCTGGCCTTTGTCCTGGCTCCTGGGAAGTAACCACTAAGCACCTGGAACTTCCTAGGTGATAGGAATGTCTTTGTTACTTATGGTGGACCCCTAAGGCCACATCTGTTAGCTTATGCTAATGCAATGACTCTGGCTACGCCAGAAAGACCAATCATGTAATCTGTCTTGGGGCTTTGGGCTTCCAGGCAAGGAGGGAGGGAAAATGCTGGAAACTGAGTTTAAGCACACAGAAAATGATTCAATTAACCCTTTGCACTCGGATGTCAAGTGTGACTCGACACGGTTAGCATGGGTAGCAGCTCATATGTCGAGCCACACTGGACACGTAGTTTCACCGAGGAGGGAAGAGAGATTTTTGTCTATTTTTCCAGTATCTTGTTTTCATTAGCATGAAAGGACAAGTAAAATGTAAATGCAGAGATGGTACACTAACTTCCAGGGGTAGATTATTATCCACTAACTTAGAGCAACGTTTAGATGGAAAGCTCCATATAATCACACCTCACCTTAACAAAAAACACGAAGATTGTGTTGTTTGTTCTAATAGAAAAATCAGCCCGGCGCGGTGGCTCACGCCTGTAATCCTAGCTCTCTGGGAGGCTGAGGCGGGTGGATTGCTCGAGGTCGGGAGTTCGAAACCAGCAAGAGCGAGACCCCGTCTCTACTATAAATAGAAAGAAACTAATTGGCCAACTAACATATATTAAAAAATTAGCCGGGCATGGTGGCTCATGCCTGTAGTCCCAGCTACTTGGGAGGCTGAGACAGAAGGATCGCTTGAGCCCAGGAGTTTGAGGTTGCTGTGAGCTAGGCTGACGCCACGGCACTCACTCTAGCCTAGGCAACAAAGCGAGACTCTGTCTCAAAAAAAAAAATAATAAAAAAAGAAAAATCAAAGGAGGAAGAAGAGAGACGATTTATATTTGCAAAACATGTGAATGTAAACCAGGTCTTCATGTGGGTGAATGTTTCAAAAAATATCACACCATGAAAAATTATAGAGATTAAAATTACTCTTTGAATGTATCAATAATTTGAAATATTAAAAAAATCCAGGGCCGGGTGTGGTGGCTGACGCCTGTAATCCTAGCTCTTGGGAGGCCGAGGCGGGCGGATTGCTCAAGGTCAGGAGTTCAAAACCAGCCTGAGCAAGAGCGAGACCCCGTCTCTACTATAAATAGAAAGAAATTAATTGGCCAACTGATATATATATATAAAAAAAATTAGCCGGGCATAGTGGCACATGCCTGTAGTCCCAGCTACTCGGGAGGCTGAGGCAGAAGGATCGCTCCAGCCCAGGAGTTTGAGGTTGCTGTGAGCTAGGCTGACGCCATGGCACTCACTCTAGCCTGGGCAACAAAGCGAGACTGCTTGTTCAAAAAAAAAAAAAAAAAAAATCCAAATAAATAAGCTTGTATGGAAATAAACTCCTGTTTTTTATTCTACTGCCACACTTTGTAAAATCTGGGGTATTTAAAAAATTAAATCCCGAGTAGAATAAAGGAATTGAGAAAAAAACAAGTGAGTGCAAAGGGTTAATCATTCCTATATAATGAAGCCTCAATCAAAACTGTGGACGATTGCTGGGGGCTGATTCTGGTGTTATGCCTTATACTAATCATTCACTATAGGCTGTAATGTACGTGTGCTGCCTGATGCTGCAGTAGTCAGCATTTTCTTCAGACACGGTTGCTGCCCTGTGACTTGATAAGGGGCCTGAGTTGTTGCACATAAGCAAATGCTTCCAACTCTCACATGGAGGGCCCCTGTGGTAGGAGTCTGGAGGCCATGAGAACAAGAATAAGAAGAACTCTCCCAGGAACTGGCCCCCCGATGGTTGGTTGGTAGTCAATGGGGTAAGACTCCCCATGGAGGGGGGCGACCTAAAACAGGCACAACCGTGGGGGCCAGGAAGAAGTCACTGCCTGGGATTGAGACCAAGAAGCATTTCAAATGGCTGCATTGTTTTATGTTGCCTATCTCGGCCTTGGCTTTTGAGCTCTGTCCGGCACCTTAACTTCAGTAACCGTTAGAGGTCTGAGACCATGAGAAATTGTTCCCTTTTGATACAACTCTGGAATTGGCTGATATCGCTGCCATGCTCAGATGCTCATGTACAAGGAACTAACCTTGGGTCTGGGGGGTATAAAAATAAAGCGATTGGTGCACTGGTGACTCGAGTCATTGTCATGTCCATGTGTGTCTGTGTCGTTATTTTATGTTCTATGTCACCCCTGTCCTGTAATTGGGGCACAACAGACGCTGAAGCTTGGATGCATGTCCCTGGTTGACAATACTCTATGTATATTGCTACACCAATACTGGGAGAGTAACATATCCAATGGACAATGGAAGCTTCATGTCTGGAACCTCCCCAGTTGCCACCCTATCCATCTCTTTTCTTTGCTGATTTGAATGTATCTTTTCCCTGTTACAAATGTGACTCTGAATATAATAGCTTTCAGTGAATTTTGTAAGTCTTTCTACTGGATTATTACACCCGAGGGTGGTTTGTGGAAACCCCTGAATTTGTAGCTAGCTGGTCTGAAGTAAGATTGGTCATGGGAACCTCTGAACTTATAGCTGATGTTTGAAGTGATGGGCAGCTTTGTGGGAACTATTCCCTCAGTCTGTGCAGTTTGCCTAATGTTTGCAATGAATGGCCTTTTCAATAAATGGTCCTGGGATATTAGTTCTCCATATGGAAAAAGTGAAATTGGACCCCTAACATACACCACACCCTAGAATTAATTCCAAATGAATTGAAGAGTTAAACATAAGAGGCAAAACAATATCATTTATAGAAAGCAATAGAGAAAAATCTTTACACTTACAAAATATGAATAAGTTAGTAAAGGAAAATAATCTTAAATTTGATGCCATTAAAATTGAGAACTTCTACCATTATTTAAAAGTTACAAGTCCGCTGGGTGCAGTGGTTCACGCCTGTAATCCTAGCACTCTAGGAGGCCGAGGCGAGAGTGGATTGCTCGAAGTCAGGAGTTTGAAACCAGCCTGAGCAAGAGCGAGACACCGTCTCTACTATAAATAGAAAGAAATTAATTGGCCAACTAATATACATAGAAAAAATTAGCAGGGCATGGTGGCGCATGCCTGTAGTCCTAGCTACTCAGGAGGCTGAGGCAGGAGGATCGCTTGAGCCCAGGAGTTTGAGGCTGCTGTGAGCTAGGCTGATGCCACGGCATTCACTCTAGCCTGGGCAACAAAGCGAGACTCTTTCTCAAAAAAAAAAAAGTTACAAGTCAAGCCATAAACTAAAAAAGCATGTACAGCACACATAACTGACAAAAGAGGACAATCTACAATATTTAAGAATGCCTATACCTAGCTCTCTGGGAGGCCAAGGCAGGTAGATTGCTCAAGGTCAGAAGTTCGAAACCAACCTGAGCAAGAGCGAGACACCGTCTCTACTATAAATAGAAAGAAATTAATTGGCCAACTAATATATATAGAAAAAATTAGCCGGGCATAGTGGTGCATGCCTATAGTCCCAGCTACTTGGGAGGCTGAGGAAGTAGGATTGCGTGCGCCCAGGAGTTTGAGGTTGCTGTGAGCTAGGCTGATGCTACAGCACCCTCTCTAGCCTGGGCAACAAAGTGAGACTCTGCCTTAAAAAAAAAAAAAGAATGCCTACAAAATATTAAAGGGAACCAAAAAACTGGAAATATAAAAATCAATAGAAAAATTAAAAAATTACGTAAGTGGTAATTCAGTCAGTCTAAGAAAGCATGAATGCTAATAGGTATGAAAGGGGGTTCAACCTCATTTAGTACCAAAATATGCAAATTTGAAATCAAAATAATGTATCAATTCATACCCACCAAGTGGTTAAAAATTTAAAAGTTTAACAATACCAAGTGTTGGTGAGGAAGTGAAGTTACAGGAATTGTAAATGGGTATAAACACTTTAGAAAACAATTAGGCAGTGTCATGTAAGGTTGAAAATGCACATACCCTGTGTCCTAGCAATTCTATTTCTAGTTACATACTTAGAGAAATTTTTGCACATGACAACAAAAGTTAAAGAATGTTCACAATAATGTATGCAATATAAATAAGAAAATACATATTCATACAATGGATGGGTATATAGTAGGATAAATTCACAATATGAATGAATCTCCTGAACATATGCTGAGAGACTAGCAATGAAGTTGTAGGAGAATCCTAATATGATTTCCTTATATCAAATTTTAAAAAGAAAATAAATACATGTGCTTAAAACTGAAAAGAAAAGCAAGGGAACAAAATTCAGAATAATACTTACCTCTGAAGGTTAAAGGAGACAACTGGATTGGGATGATCACAGCACACTTGGAGTTTCTAACAATAGTTAACACTCTAGTTCTTTTTTTTTATTTTTTTAAACGGAACCTCGCTTTGTTGCCCAGGCTAGAGTGAGTGCCATGGCGTCAGCCTAGCTCACAGCAACCTCAAACTCCTGGGCTCAAGCAATCTTCCTGCCTCAGCCTTCCGAGTAGCTGTGACTACAGGCATGCACCACCATGCCTGGCTAATTTTTTCTATGTATATTAGTTGGCCAATTAATTTCTTTCTATTTATAGTAGACACGGGGTCTCGCTCTTACTCAGGCTGGTTTCGAACTGCTGACATTGAGCAATTCCACCCACCTCGGCCTCCCAGAGTGTTAGGATTACAGGCATGAGCCACCGTGCCTGGCCAACACTCTAGTTATTAAACATGGTGTTCAGTCATTCTTTATACCTTATCCACTTTCTATTATTGAATATTTAATAAAAGCAGTTTTCAAAAGACAGAAATTTGTAAGCAAAAAAGCTGTTGCATGTGACACTGGAGGGGACAACAAAGAAATTAGTTAGACTGAAGAACCTTATTCTACTCAACTTCCCTGCCAAATCACTGAGGCATGTACACTGTCAAGAATGTTCTGAGAGGGCCGGGCGGTGGCTCAGGCCTGTAATCCTAGCTCTCTGGGAGGCCGAGGCGGGCGGATTGTTTCAGCTCAAGAGTTCGAAACCAGCCTGACCAAGAGCGAGACCCCATCTCTACTATAAATAGAAAGAAATTAACTTGCCAACTAATATATATAGAAAAAATTAGCCAGGCATGGTGGTGCATGCCTGTTGTCCCAGCTACTCGGGTGGCTGAGGCAGGAAGAGTGCTTGAGCCCAGGAGTCTGAGGTTGCTGTGAGCTAGGCTGACGCCACGGCACTCTAGCCAGGGCAACAGAGTGAGACTCTGTTTAGAAAAAAAAAAACCAGAATGTTCTGAGAATTAACAAAATCCAAAGTGGAAATTCTACATCAGATGAGACTACGTACACAAAACAGACAGCCCTGGGGCTAGTTTAGGACAACTGCTCCATACACGCAGTTTCTTTCTTTTTCCCTTTCTCCAAATCACTAATGTAAACCTTTTGGATGGATTCCTGAAATAAGGTAGTGTCCTGAAAACCAAGAAGTTCTTTCAAGAAAGTGGCAAATGCAACTTACCGCCATGATTTGATGCACAACAATTCTTCTTTCCTCTTCTTCTGGGTTCTTAGAGAAAGAAAAAGGTGGAAAAAGGTTAAGAAACCATAAGACAACAGTCCCTTTCTAAAACCGGAGGAGGCCAAGTCAGAAAAAATCCCTGCCCCACCCCAGGCACTAAGAGGGAGGCCAAAGAAGCCTGCAACCCCATTTTCCTCTGCCATCCTCACAAAGAAAAGCAGGCGACCTTAGGGGCCCAAAAAGGAGTCCTGGGAGAGACTCCCAGATTGTATGTAGCCTTCTTCCTTAGGAGCCTGACTTGGGGAACTTTCAGGCCCAGCATCTTATGCTGAGCCCAAGTCTGTGGCTCCAAGACACAGCCTAAGTGGACCCATTTGTCAAGGTCCCACACTCCTCTGTCCTTTAGGCTGGGGGCATCTCTATAGGAATAGATCCCGGAATGCTATGGGGTGAAAAACACAGAGAAGTGGAATCAGCAGAGGCTCCCCAGCTACAAACTCTAGAACGACCCCCACCCCCCAACACACACCACAAGTAGCTCCCAGGGGAACACAAGTCAAGGCCCTGGAGACTCAGTGGAGGCGGCTGTGTGCATTCCGGCTGGACTTGAAAATGCAATGGGAGCTGCAAAGGCTCGCGACGTGCGCAGCTGGGGTTTTAGCTAGACGACCCGGACCGCGGCAGACCCCGCCCCGACAAATGTACGAGGGCCTCTCAGCTCTCCCAAAGGCAGAGTCGAGGACAAGCCACATGGGGGACTCTTTTCTAATCTCTGTCTGTCACCCACACACAGCCACAGCGAGTCCCACTGAGCCAGGAAACCCACCACGGCCCCGCAGGCACTGGGCGCCGCACATCCGGCGCCGGGCCCACATCCACGTCCAGGGAGTGTCCTTGTAAGAAGACACACAGCCCGCTCCCGCGCCACTCTCGCTCGCCGCCCCCGCGCCGTCTGGAGCGGGCAGAGCCGGCCGGACGCCCCCTCCGGCCCCGGGGCGCAGCCCGCACTCCGCCTTCGCGGCCGCGCGGCGCCGACACCCCCGAGAGCCGCCTGCATTTTAACTCCAGACCAACCCCGGGGCGCCTCCCTGTCCACTTCTGCGGGGTCCCTGCACTCGGGTCTGGCCGAGCGCGGCGCAAACCAGGGAGCCCGCCCGCCCGCACGCCACGTCCCGCTCCGCCGATTACCTCAGGCCGCACACCCGGTGAAGCCCCCTGGGAAGCGCAGTCCCGGGCGGGGGAGAAACACCCAGGCCGGCGCCGGCGCGGCCGTCTTTTCCGCTCAGGGTCGAGTCTGGGTCCAAGTCCTGCCTGAGGAAGTCCGGTCCAGCCCGCCCGGCCGCGCCCGAGCCTCCGCCAGGACCGGCCCAGAGAGTGACCCGCGGCCGCCGAGGGAGGAAAAGGGTGGTGGGCCGTGGGGGTTTCTGGGAAATGCGGCCCAGACGGGGGAGGGGCGGGCGGCGGCCTGGACTTCCCGCGTCCGCCGCCGCGTCCGCGCGGGGAGGGGCCCGGGACCTCAGAGAACTGCGGCTGGAAGCCAGGGAGAAGGCCGTTCGGAGTTCCCGCCGCCAGGGGCCGCGCACGACGACTCCCTGCCACGTCACGCGCCTCAGCCCTCGGCGCCACAATCCCGAGAACGCCCGGAGGCCAAGTCTGGGCTGGGAATTCCTGTCCCAGTACGGGGATCCGCTGGGAAGTGCGGTCTGCAGTTTCGGGAACGCGGTGACAACCACCACCTTGGGCTCCGGATAGGGAACAAGGGACTGGAGGAGGTTAAAGAGGGATAACGCGGGGTCTGGGGTGGAAGGAATGGAATATGAGTGTAGTGGGATGCTATTAATATGTCATTACTTTAAGTTTAGGTTGCAGGATATTTAATGACAGAAATATGTCCAAGAAGTACTTTTGCTGGAAAAAGTATTACTAAACTCTATATACTATGTAATACTGTTCAGAATTTTTATAAACAAACACGGAAAGATAGGCACTTGGGTAACAATATCTGTAAAGTTACACTAACATCTGTTAACAGTAGTTGATTCTGGAATATGCAATTGTGAGTGACTTTTTTCTTTTCAGTTTAAGAGTATTATATACCCTTCTGGTATGGCCATTATCATTTCCTTTATGTGAAACATTACATATTAAATTTTGTCAACTATAAAATGAATATGTCTAGTTGCTATTATGTGCAAGTCTGTAACTACAGTAGAGGAAAAGTAGATTTTTTCCCCTAAAATTTATTTATTTTATTTATTTATTTTTGAGACATTGTGTCACTTTGTTGCCCAGGCTAGAGTGAGTGCCCTCGGGTCAGCCTAGCTCACAGCAACCTCAAACTCCTGGGCTCAAGCAATCCTACTGCCTCAGCCTCCCTAGTAGCTGGGACTACAGGCATGTGCCACCATGCCCAGCTAATTTTTTCTCTCTATATATTAGTTGGCCAATTAATTTCTTTCTATTTATAGTAGAGACGGGGTCTCGCTCTTGCTCAGGCTGGTTTTGAACTCCTGACCTCGAGCAATCTGCCCGCCTCGGCCTCCCAGAGTGCTAGGGTTACAGGCGTGAGCCACCGCGCCCAGCCCCCCTAAAATTTAAATTACTGATTTCTACTAAGAAGTAGAAAACCTGAACAGAATAACCTTAATAAAATTTAAAGATATTTAAAAACATGTACAATTAAAAAGGTACTGTACCCAGATGGTTATAGCTGAGTCTTAGCTAATTTTTAGACTAATAATGATTATTCAATTAATTTATATCCAATTTATGCTCTAATGAATTTTGTCTAGCTAGCATAAAACCCAATAAAGACAGGCCAAAAGATGAGTATTAATCAGTTTCAATTGTGGTTATACATACAAAAATTCCAATAAAAGGCTGATTTAAATAATGCATAAAATTGGCTCATGCCTGTAATCCTAGCACTCTGGGAGGCTGAGGCTGGCAGACTGCTTGAGGTCAGGAGTTCGAAATCAGCCTGAGCAAGAGCAAAACCCGTCTCTACTATAAATAGAAAGAAATTAATTGGCCAACTAATATATATAGAAAAAATTACCTGGGCATGGTGGCGCATGCCTGTAGTCCCAGCTACTCAGGAGGCTGAGTCAGCAGGATTGCTTTAGCCCGGGAGTTTGAGGTTGCTGTGAGCTAGGCTGACGCCATGGCACTCATTCTAGCCTGGGCAACAAAGTGAGACTCTGTCTCAAAAAAAAAAAAAAAAAATACCAATAATACATAAAATTTATACAATGAATTATGTTGACAGATTTTCTAATATTGGAAGAATATTAAGAACTCTAATGATAAAATGCATTGCATCAACAAATTAAAGGAGAAAAAAATTCATCCGTCAAATGATGCCAACAAGATGATGTGGTAGACAAAATAATGCCCCTGCCCCGCAAGATGTCCAAATCCTAATCCCCAGAACATGTGAATATATCTTACATGGCAAAAGAGACTTTGTAGGTATGCTTCAATGAAGGATCTTGTGAGATGGGAAGATTCTCCTGGATTATCTGAGTAGGCCTCACAAGGGTCCTTATGGGAGGAAAGTGGGAGGGTCAGAGAAGAGATCTGACAGCAGAAGCAGAGGTTGGAATGATGTGCTTTGAAGATGGAGAAGGGGCTATGAGCAAAGGCATGCTGGCAGCTTTTAGAAGCTGGAAAAGGCAAGGAAATAGATTCTTCCTTAGACCCACAGAGGGAATATAGTTCTACTAACACCTGGATTTTAGCCCTCAGTACCCATTTTGGAGTCTGATGATGAAATCTTCCCTCAGAGCAGGAAAAGGTGGGCATGACCTGTTATTCATCAGAAAGCCATGTCCTTGATAAGTTTGTCCTTCCTCTTTACTTGAGATACTTTTCATCCTCCCCCAGTTAGGATATAGAAACGCTTACATTCCTTCTCCTGAAACTTCCTCTCTTAAAGAAACAAATTCCCTAGTCTGTTCTAGTGGGGTCTTTGGGTACATCCCAAGGAGCTCAGTGCCCTCCCACATTTATTTCTCCTTATGTGGCAGAGTGGAGTCACCCCATAGGCACATTTACTTCAGTTGTTTGAGAAATTTTAAATCTCCAGAAGCACAGAAAGAATCGTATAAAGAACTCCCACATGTGCCTGTCCCCTAGATACACTAATTGTTAACAATTTGCCACTTTGATTTCTCTGTCTCTTTCATTTAAAAATAAATTCAAGTATCATTATATGCACTACTAAATACGTCAGCATGTATCTCCTAAGAACAAGGGTTTTCTGTGAGTCCATGGTTGTGATGCTGGCAGAGGCATTATGGGCAAGAAAAGAAAATCTATCCAGAATATTTGTCTATACTTGTAAGGACGAATCTCTGTCTCATCCATGATAAAAGAGGCCTAATGTAACTGGCCTTCTACCACATGGCCAGCTGATTCCATAAAGGAATGATGCCATGTCAGGGACTCAATGCCGGTGTGTCTGCTGTTGACAAAAATTAAGGGGGAAAGTACTGTGCCAGCTGATTGTTATTATACTTATTAAGAAACAAAATGTTTTCAAACACCCCAAATATTTCTGCTTACATCTCATTGGCCAGATTTATGACACATGGTTCTCCTCACATGGTGGAAGGCAGAAGGGCAAAGAGACAAAAGGGGGGCCAAACTTGCTCTTTTATAAGAGCATTAATCCTACCTGTGAGGATGGAGCTCTCACCACCTAATCATCTCAAAAAGGTCCCACCTCTTAATACTATTACAATGGCAGTTAAATTTCAATGTGAGTTTCGGAGGGAATACACACTCAAACCATAACAATTACTAAAGACTCCCAGGACAGTAGGATAACATTACATCCTTAATGTAAATTTGATGCCCACTTGTACAAGTCTTTGTATAGATATAAGTCCCTCCTATAGCACTTGTATATTCCCAAAGATTAAAGACCAGTGCCTAAGTAGGACAGTGCAGAGGATGATTTATTTATTCCTCTTCCACCTCTAACATCATAGGCAACAGTCACCCCATGGGACATGCCTTGTCATCTGCTGCAAGCTCAAAATAATGAAGGTGGATACCTCCCACCTTCACTTCAATAAAAATCAGACAGGCTCATCAGATGCCTCATATTTCAGATAACACTTATGGCTTATTTTCTGCATTCAATGTTTGTCTCTTTGAGGAATGCCTAGACACAGCAGAAATGGAGCTCGCACTCTGGACACAGGCGATATTATAAAGTTATTGTCTAACACGCAAGAAGAAAGTAATATTTCACAAAGGTTCTGAGGCTAATATAACAAATTTGTATGTGACTTTGACCTAATGCATGAAAGGTTATCATCAATGATAAGAAAAAACTCTTTAATAATAGGGCACCAGACATAGCATGGCCCTCTGCCAAGCACATTTAACAGAAACTATATTGGGAGTATTTCATAAAATGGCTGTTCATGGTGCTGTCAGTTGTTAAATTTAGTTAGAGGAGAAACAGCAGCTGGTTATATGGTAACACTAAAATGTCTTTAGGACACAGTCGTTAATTATGCTCCAGAAGCAGCTGCCGAAGCTTTGGGATGGCTTTTGCACTGGCATTCTACCCAAATCCTTGTGCAGCTGACATTCATCTGTATTTGTATCTAAAGTTATCAGTCAAAATGACATGCCACTGTAGTTAATATTTACATGGCTTATCAAGCTAAGAAAAATGAAACTACTGAGACTGAATTGATGGCATTAAAAATTAAGAATTTTCATAAACATATGCCTCCTATACTGCCCAGCCATCTAATCCTAGGTATTTATCGAAGGGAAATGAAAATACAAAATGTTAATACAAATGTTAATATTAGAATAGATCCTGAAAACCAAAAAGAAAAAAAAGAAAAAAAAATAAAAAAAAATAAAAGAACAAATGTTAATACAAAAACTTGTACATTGATGTTCATGGTAGCCTTATTTAATAGCCTCCAAATTGGAAACAACCCAACTATTCATCAGCAGGTGACTGGATAAACAAATTGTGGTACTATTATTCAGCCACAGCTTGCCTGGATCCAGCGTGGGTAGCATAGTGAGACACTGTCTCTAAAAACAAACAAAAACAAAACACAATCCCCCCCTCAAAAAAACTTCCAAGACATACAACATGGATGATTCTTACAATAGCTGAGCAAACGAAGCCACATACTAAAGATACTGTATGATTCCATTTATATAAAGTTATAGAACAGGCAAAATTAATCTATGGAGAGAGAAATCAGAAGAGTAGTGATTTCAGAATGGGGATGGTAGTTGTTATCTTGGAAGGAGCCAAGGGAACTTTCTAGGGGAATGGAAATATTCCATTTTTTGATCTGAGAGGTGGATACCTGGGTATACATATATGTAAAAATTTATCAAAATGCACATTTATACTTTACCATATGTAAACTTACTTCAGTATTTAAAAAGAGAAATAGAAGTAGTAAAAGAAAGAAAAAACTTTATAGTCATTAAGGAAGTAGGTGGGGAAATTTCAGAGACATGGGTCAGAAATAGAAGGAAAAGAAGTAATGATGGGCAAACACTTAATATCTGTGGACTAATCAAGGGCCTACAAATATATTTAAGACCCAAAAAAGAGTTTTTTTAGAGCTCTAGTTTCTGTTCTGGCATGTAAAGAGCTTGGACGTCATCACTCTGAACAAATAAGTATAAAGCTGAACAAACTGAAAAAAATCAACAACTCTTCTTAGAACTGTCAGAATAGTGAGGTCCCAGAGCAAACTGCCACCCCTGAAA